CCAGCATTCGTGTATAAGCCCTAAGGAGGTCCCAGACACTGCCCATCGTTATAAAGTGGCTTCCGTGGTCACACAACCCAGGGCAGTTACAGGCACATCTCCCCACAGACCGGCGTCGTCATCAGTGTGAAAAGCACAAAGATCCCCAGGTGTTTGGATCAGCTCACAGATCCTTTTCTGTTTAATTTTTAAGTTCAGGGGAACCTGTGCAGGATGAGCAGGTTTGGTACCTATGTAAACGTGTGTCATGAGGGTTTGTGGCACAGGCTATTTCATCATCCACATATCAAACCTAATATCAGTTATTTTCCTGATCCTCCCCCTCCTCCCACCGTCCACTCTCCAGTCGGCCCCAAGCTCACAAATTCTAAGAGGACTGGGGGACCACACGGGCCAGTGCAGCCCACTTCAGTTGTGAAGTTAATTTGCTCAGCAGCTGGCCGGAGCACATAAGGATCGGTGATGTCTTTTAGTAGATTTAGTAATATTGTCTTCCCAAGCCCTAAAATGCTCAAGCCCTGCCAGCTGAAAATGGTGAGGAGAGGGACAGGCAGGAACTCTGTGCAGCACTTGGTTGGTTGCCTGGTTTCCGTCCCCTCGTGGCAGCTCGCTTGTGCATGCGGGTTAAAGACCCTCCGCCTCAACCCAAGCCTCCTCCACGAGATGATTCTCATTGTTGGCCGGCTACTGCAGCGTATGGCCACCAGCCCAAGTGAAACAAAACGTTGCTTTAAAACAAGTTATGTATTCGTAATGTCCACTCATTGTTTTGTTTTTCTGCTCTCTCTGTGGTTATGTCTTCCTATTAATTTCTGATACTAATTTTGTGATTTCCCTTTTTTCTTGATAAATCTCATTAATGACTTGTGTACTAGACTTTTCTTGAAAACAACTGTTGCTTTTCATCCACAGCTGAGTCATCATCCACGGCTGGGGTATCAGGGTCATCATCCACCAATAGGACGGAGGGGTCAACATCCACCAATACGAAATCATCCACTGCTGGGGCATCATCAACTGCTGGGGAATCATCCAACAACGGGACATCATCAACTGCTGGGGCATCCACCGCAGGGACGTCATCAACTGCTGGGCCGTCATCTACCACTGGACATCGTCAACTGCTGGGCCATCATCCACCGCTTGGACATCATCAACTGCTGGGCCGTCATCCACCGATGGCACGTCGTCAACTGCCGGGGCGTCATCCCCCGATGTGACGTCGTCAACTGCCGGGGCGTCATCCGCCGATGGGACGTCGTCAACTGCTGGGGCGTCATCCCCCGATGGGACGTCGTCAACTGCCGGGGCGTCATCCCCCGATGGGACGTCCTCAACTGCCGGGGCGTCATCCCCCGATGGGACGTCGTCGACTGCCGGGGCGTCATCCCCCGATGGGACGTCGTCGACTGCCGGGGCGTCATCTCCCGATGGGACGTCGTCAACTGCTGGGGCGTCATCCCCTGATGGGACATCGTCAAGGGCCAGGGCGTCATCCCTCGATGGGACGTCAATTGCTGTGGCGTCATCCAGCGATGGGACTTCGTCAACTGCCAGGGCGTCATCCCTCGATGGGACGTCATCAACTGCCGGGGCGTCATCCCTCGATGGGACGTCGTCAACTGCCAGGTCGTCATCCCTCGATGGGACGTCAATTGCTGGGGCGTCATCCAGCAATGGGACTTCGTCAACTGCCGGGGCGTCATATTCCGATGGGACGTTGTCAACTGCCGGGGCATCATCCCCCGATAGGACGTCATCAACTGCCGGGTGTCATCCCTCGATGGGACGTCATCGACTGCCGGGGCGTCATCCCTCG